ACCTCGCATAACAAGCCGGTTATTATTTATCCGCATACTGCAAAAGGGGGAGCCAAGATGGAGAGCATTTTGCATGAAGTTGCCGCGTTGTGACAGATTTGCGCTCGATCCAAAGCTCATGCTATTCACTATTGCGCTACTGCAGGATCCCAGCTCTTCCTTAACAGGTTAGGGAAGTTTAGGGCATAGCCTCATTTGAATCCTATCCCTCAAGGCCTGCTGCATACTAGTTAATGGTGGGCAAAGGCAGGGGTGGGTTGGGGATCTTTTGTCAGCCAGAGGGCCATTTTCCTGGTCAGGTAGCCTTCTGCAGGCCACATACCTGCCAGGCATCCTAGATGCAAAAGTAGGCAGTTGTGGATGTGACTCATCTTTGTGCTCTAGATTACATTCTAGCTCTACGGAAGTCAAGAGGTTTACACACAACATACACACTCCACATTTCCCTTCCAGGTAAACAAGAGACAATATCACTGGTTCAAGGATAAGCTCCAGCCAGACAAAACTCTCAAGGATTTGCCCCAGGCAAAATAGAGAAGCTTAGAGGGCTGTAGTTGCACCCAGAGCCAAGGTTCCCCTATCCCTGGGCTAGGACATTTAGACCAAGTGGCATGTTAATTTTAAAAATCGCAACCATTAAGGTAAATACCACTGCATTTTATTCCTTCCGTCTGTGAGCCTTATGCTGGCGGGCAGCCTATACTGTATAATTTCAGCAATGAATGAATGATACAAAAACAAGGATGTTCTGCATTTACTTTGATTCTGTTACTCAAGAGTGCAAGTGAAAACAATAAATGTCCCATTAATGCTCCACTGAACTACACCATAATGGCAATTTGCCCTCCACCATGCCCAGCTGTCTAGAACTTTGATCTCTCTAGTTAAAACTATTGTAATACTACACACTTCTCTTGTATTGTGGATTCTTTCCACAGGTAGATAAGGGAGAGGTCATGGAAGAGTTAATAATTACCTTTAAGCTTGAACTATGACTGAAAAGCTATCTTGCATGCAAAAACGTAACTTCCACGTATTACAAAACTAAAGTTAAAATTTCAGGGCTGTTGTGACATAGCTAAAAACGGCAAGAAGTGAACATGGTCGTTTGACGTAGAGAGCCATGAGAGAAGCTTGAAGAGCAAGAATGCCTGGATTTCTTTTGTAGGGGGAAGCAATATCTGTTTATGCATGCTTGAGCAATTATTTATTGTGGACCACAGCAAGGAAGTTTTGTGGCAGCGTTGTGACATTCTTATTCTAGCAATCCCAGCATCGCCACTATGTTATCTGTAATTCAGGTAACATTGCAAACATCTGATGATGCATCTTCTATTGATCATTTTAAATGTTTCCAATTTTTTTGATACACCATTTAGCGGAAGAAACACCACTTCATTTCCAAGAAGTGAGATAAAAATGCAGTAAGTAAAATAGTGTTGTTCCTTTAGGACCTTATTTTTTTAAACACACACCCATAAGTCCACCAACCAGAGCCAGATGCAAAATAAGTTTTTGGGAGGGATAGAAATGCAAAATTGTAGCCTGCGGGGTGGAGCTTATTACAGCAATTTACGCAACACTAATATAACCAGGACAAACTGAAATTTGACATGACGAGCCTTAACTGCCCTAGTTTGTTTGTTTAAACAGCCCTTTTTGCTGTCATTGCTAAAGGGACGCGGGACTTATAAAAAAATATTGGGGGCCCCGGGAAAGCTCATGAAGTATAAATAAGCTCATGAATATGCAAATATAAGTGGCGCCGCCTCCTCGTGAGCGAATAGGGGGAGAGCGTGCTGGCGCTATTAATACCAGCTCCAGGAATTGGGTGGAGCTTTTGCTCGGAGGGAGGGCAGGAGGCATGGCTAGCCCACCTCCTGTGGCATTTTGGGCTGGGGGAGGGGCGGCGATGGCGCTCTGCTGGAGGGGCGCCGGAGATTATTGGGGGGGGCGGAGGCCCCCCCAAACGAATTTTTGAGGGGGCTCGGCCCCCTCAAGCCCCATGTGAGTCAGCGCCTATGATTGCTAAACAACTGGGAAGTAAGATATCTTTGCTGAACTATGGATCCTAAAATAAAACATTGTCCCCCTCCCTCCTCAATTTACCGTATTTTTCGCTCTATAAGACGCACCAGACCACAAGACGCACCTAGTTTTTGGAGGAGGAAAACAAGAAAAAAAATATTCTGAATCTCAGAAGCCAGAACAGCAAGAGGGATCGCTGCGCAGTGAAAGCAGCAATCCCTTTTGCTGTTCTGGCTTCTGGGATAGCTGCGCAGCCTGCATTCGCTCCATAAGACGCACACACACTTCCCCTTACCTTTTAGGAGGGAAAAAGTGAGTCTTATAGAGCAAAAAATACGGTACTTCACTTCTGGCTCAGTTGAGCATTCTAGTGTGTATATTTCACTCCCCATCATTCCTTCAAACTCTGATGGGCCAGACCTGCTTCTGCTTAGTGTAGCTAAAACAGCATCAACACAGAAAGGTGGTTCAATCTTATTTAATCTAAACCTGCCCTTCTTCTCAAAGGAGCACAGGACAGTAAAGAAACAACAAAACACGTCTTAGGAACAAAAATTTATTCAGGGCAAGGGATATCTAACTTGACACCCTCCAGATGTTGTGGAAGCTCAACTCCCATTGGCCCTAGGCAGTATGGTCAGTGGCCAAGGATGATGGGAGCTGTGGCCAAACAATACCTAGAGCTTGATTTTTGTTGCTCATGAGATGCGGAATGCCTTTGCAACAAGACATCTAATCTCTTGTCCTTCATCCATGATGTAGGGAGCTGGATTGGCAAACAATTGCTCCATTCTAAACAAAGTTAATGATAAGACTTCCAAGAGCAACTGCCACGTTGTCAAAGAAATCGTACTAAATGCAAATTAGCTTAAGATGGTATCTTATTTTCATTGGAGTAACTTTTCATTGTAAGATGGTATCTTATGAAAATAAGATTACCTGGTCAATCTCACAACTGAAATAAGGAAGCTAAGTGCTGCCTTTTTATTGCTGTCCTTATTTCTGTATGTAGATTATTTTTTTAAAGGGAAAATGCTGCATTGATCAATTACACATCAGTCTATGTGCAAGTTCAAAAATCAGATCTGATGGTTGTGTTGGATAAAGAACCTTACCTGAATACATTATGGTAAACTTCAGGTCCATTTCAGCCAATTTGTTTCCAGCCACAATCCAGAGTCCTAGTGATTACCTAATAAAGCCCCCTCAAATGGCTTGGGACCAGTTTATCTCCTTCTGCATGAACCTACTTATGTCTGCATTCAGCAACTGAGGTCTGTACTCCACCACCTTTGGAGATGCACTTAGTGGGGATATGTGAAAAGGGCCTTTTTGTCAGGGGCTCCCAAAATGTGGAACTCCTCATCCCTCTTAAAGAGGTTCTGTTGGCCCTCTCTTGAGTTTCAGGAGTGTACCAAATCCATTTCTTTAATTACACCCTGCCTTCAAATCTGTTTTAACCTCCTGCTATTTTGTATTTTGTTATTTGACCCTCTTCTGCTGTTGCTTTAACGATTTAACTGATGATTTGTTTCATGTTATTTTTATTGTAGCTTTTAATCTGGGAAGCAAAAGACATTTTCTAAAATAAATAAGATTCCATTATAGCAGAACAGGTTCTAGCAAATACTGACACAGATATTTAAGGGCTGCCATGTTAACTATTTGAAAGCTGTTCAAATGAATAAATTCCATCTAATAAAATAGGATCCCTGACTCAGCAACTTATAAAAATATGTTTTACAATGTTTTACTAAAACTGCAGATAGCAAGAATTATCTAGAGGCATGTTTCCGCATATGAAGAGAAACCTTTTCTAAGGCTTTATATAAACACGTGCGCATTATCCAAAAATAAAGTCCTTTGTGCCTCAGAGCTGTTGTTTTACACATGTTCTAATTTAATTAATTTATCAACCTACTACCTTAACACATATTATTAATCTATTAAAATTACTTAAATCATGTTGAAGCCCTACGAATACCAAATTCACACACTGCCAACATCCTACATGGAATGTATGCATGTAGTCTGTCCCGTGTGAAGACTGTGTGAGCATTGCGTGTTCCTAAGGAAATCTACAAATCTGTAGATCATCTCCTGTGCTTTTCAGTGCAAGAACTGGATAATGTCCTTCAGGGGGTTAAATATAGTAATCAAGTAACTCTTAAGGACCAAAATATTACAGCCTTCAAAAGATCACAACAAAGAAGGTATAGTTAGCAGTTTCATAATTTAATGAAAAAAGTATTGTAAAAAGGGGACGTCTGAAAAAGACATCCATTTGTGAAAGATCTCATATATATATATATATATATATATATATATATATATATATATATATGGGAAACAAATTAGGTTAAGAGGTAATACTTCAAAGTTAGCCACTGAACACATTGTAAAAACTAGCAAATATATTTTGGAGACAGATACTTGAAAGCTATATAGCCAAAGGCTCCTCCTCCATGTATCTATTAAAATCATGTAAAATTAAACAAAAACAAAATTACTATCACCTGAACTGATATATTTTAGTCATCACCTTTAAATTGGCAAAACTGAGGAGTCTTGCTGAAGCACCATTTCCTACCCTTTATAATGTTCTCATGCCACTAGTCATGAAACACGACTATTGTCGTCGTCCCCTTCAGATCAATGAAGTAATTGTTCCCATTTTCAACTCTTATTTACTTCATGACCAGGAAACAATGTTAACAATAAATATGAAAAACTAGAACCAATGTATAGAGAAGTGAACATTTTCAGCACCGTTCTGAATGGCTGACAACATAAAGGCCAACCATTTTTTCAACAAAACACTAACTTTTTTTTAAAAAAAGGTACTATATATTTACATGAAAGAAAATGCCTTAAACATAGATCTATGGGGGAAAAAGACAAATTTCACAAACATACCATAGAAATGAGTAAACAAAGCAAACTTTTAAGAATGCCTAAAGCAAAGAATGTGAAACTGTCAAATTTCTTTTATTTCCTTCAGGAATATCTCATTGTGAATCCCTTCTTCACAACTAAAAGTAGATTAAGGCTTTCAAGAAAATGTGGCTCTTTATTTGTTTTCGCTGCACTGTTTATTATTAGATTTAAATTTACCCCAGTTACTTTTACTTCACATTATGGAATTTTATTAATTAAAGCAAACTGTAACAATATCATTAGTCAAATTATTGGATGCTGAAGCCCATTTTTTCCCAATTAAAGATCAATGGTACGCCGTAATATAGAGTAATTTCTTTGACACCATTGCCACATATTACGAAGAGTTTTTGTAAAAAAAAAAGTAAATCTAATTAGACAATAAAGTGGCCTAAGCAATTCCCAAGCTTTTTTGGCAATCAAAAATATTTTCATTTACTGTGTCTGACTATATTTAAACTTGGAAACCAAAACAATGTATTCACCAATTTTGGCTCAGAAATCGGACAAAGTATTTGATAGCTGGGGGAGGGGATGTGTGTTTGTGTTGGGATGGGAGGAATAGATGTAATGTTGTGGGATCAAGGTTTTAAAAAGCCTTCTGAGTTGACAAAGGAGAATCTGGCATCACCGGTGATTGCCTGAATAGGTTTAGAGATTACATACTTCTAGTATTAAACACTATCCACATATCAGCCATTTGTATCGGCCGGCTGGGTAAAATATTTTGCAAGTGCAACCCACAACAAACTACTATGTACACGAGGATTAAAAAATAAAATAAAAAATACTAGAAGTTAAAAGAGTATTTACACAATAAAAGCAAGCTGCAATAGCAAAGGAAAACACAACTTTTAGCAACTATGAGGAGAAAGGGGGGAATCTAGAGATCAGTGTGTTTGGCAGCATTGACTGTGGAGTCTGTAAACCTTACTCAGCAGGCTATGAGAAACCCTTGTATCTGGATCCTATGCATGTTTACTTGGAACCAAGTCCCACGGAGTTAGAATGAACCTTGTTTCCGAGCCTTCAGAATCATACCACCTGTTCTGAAATTGGCTGAGAACATGATTTCTGTCTAGTAGTCATATGTCCCAATCCAGACCAAAACAAACAAACAAAAACAATTAAGCAAGCACCATTATTTCAAAATACAGTTTTGCCTTTTAAATTCCTTCAAAAAAAAGGGGGGGTAAGAGATTGCTTAAGTGTTCTCATGAAGAGATATTATACTGAAGTTGCAGCAAGAATCGCCTGTTCCATCTTCTTGCAGATTGTCACAGATGGATGGGCTTTTTGGAATACCTGCCCACTGGTACAAAGCCGAACACAATACATTTCCGTAGACCGGGGAAGTGGATATATAAAACTATTTCTGCAAGTGATATTTAAAGTAACCTTTACTTATTTAGCACTTATAGGAAAAAACCCCAATTAACAATCTTTTCAAAAAAGGGTAAACCGATTCACCACTTAAAAAAAGCAAGTTCGTCATTTGCTCATAGATCCTACACTGTAACCTGCAGATTTCCTAAGGTTTGCATCAATAATCTTGGACATACGAAGGCTGAGCTATTCCCATTATCCGGGGTTTCTAATCACCTTTGTACTGAACTGTGAGAAATCAAATTTCTTTTACTTCTACTATGACAATCTCTATTAAAGTCTTTACTTGGGACCTCTCTCTCTGAGCTGCTTTTTCTCAGTCTTATCTGTCCTTTATTCTCATCGCTTTCAGCTTCAGAGTCACTGAGTTCCAAATCGGGACAATACCCATCATTGTCCTGGTAGGGGGCACTCCCCATCTGATATTCAAGAGTTTGCTTGCCCCAGGAACGCTCTCTCATCGACAGCCTTCTTGAGGGCTTTTCACAGCATCTGAGATCTTCCGTGGTCCTCACCAAACTGTTGGTCGCTTCTTTGAAGGACCTGCTAAAGTGTTCTATTGTTGATTTCCTGAAGCTGCTCTGGCTAGCCAAGTGGGCAGAGAGCACAGACTGCTGCTCGTATGTCGTTTGGCTAGAGCTGTCTCGCTGAGTGACATCCCCAACTCTGCCCATTAAGCCATTAGACTTTGCTAGATTAGAGTGCTGCTGAATTTTCCCGTTTCCAATGGAGGACTGCCCATGCAATGCAGCTTGAAGTGCTAAGGGTTTGCCAGACGACTGTCCGCGATGAAAGTCTGATGTATGTGCAGGTCCAGAATTCTTTGCTGCTTCATTCCTAGACTTCACCATCCCTCCCAGTAAGCCATTGCTCCTGTTTTCATGCTGAAACCTCGAGTAGGCTTTCATATTTGAAACAAAAGTCTCTTTGGATACTGGGATACCCTTTTTGCTGTAAACCACGACGTTGTTGTCAGGAGAAAGTGGTTTACCAGATTTCAATTTATTTTTGAAATCACCTAATGTTGATTTTGGCATCTTAAGTTTCAAGGTGATTCTAGGAGGTGGATAAAACAGAGTGTTTTCCAGTGCACTTGTCAGAGAATGGCCTATAGAGAAAAATAAAAGGGTGTGTGAGAAGGAATCTATTTAAGAGGCAGATTTCACCACGCAAATGTATGCAGCACATCTTCACAGAACTTAATAGAATCACAGAGTTGGAAGGGACCCTGTGGATCACGTAGTCCAACCTTGCAATTCAGGAATATGCACCTATTATAGAACTATTTAAATGTAGCAACCTATAAGTTTATAATATGATTTGCAATTAAGGAAAGTACCTTTTTCCATGTTTCCTTGATAACAGATTCAAGAAAGTGTTAAAAAATTATATGCTACTAGATATTTTTTGAATTCCTGGTGACATACTAAGGCTCTATCTAGCCTTCCCAGAACAGAGGAGCATGAGATTTTAAGAACATAGTAGTAAGAAAACACTACTAAGTTTGTAGTATTTGCATATTCTAGTGTATTCTTCTTACTCGTGTCTAGAACACAACTTACAAATTTTCTGCAATGTAAACAAATGCAGTAATAAAAAGTTATACCATATAGATAGCCCATAAGATATATTTCTGGAATAGCTGAAAGGGGATTTTACAATTAACAATCCTAGAAAAGCATGTTTAAAAAGGCTCTGGAAGCTAGCAACACATAGCAAAGATCTAAAGTAGACATGGTCATATTGGGACAATCACGTCTCATCTTATTAAGCCAAGTTACGCACAAGTGTTTTGCCTGCACATACAGAGACCCTTTGTGCCACACTGCAATCAGACCAGGAGGTCTGCAATTACCCATACCATGCTTTCTTGCTATGCCCTAATCAGGAAACTATGGTTATCAACTTCAGAATATGCCAGGATATTAAACCATAGTCCAAGCTGCCTTAATACTCCAATTTGTTCACAATACAGTGGTGCCTCGCAAGACGAAATTAATTCGTTCCGCAAGTTTTTTCTTCTTGCGAGTTTTTCGTCTTGCGATGCACGGTTTCCCATAGGAATGCATTGAAAATCAATTAATGCGTTCCTAGGGAAACCGACTTCAGACCAGGTCCGGGGACAGTCTGTCCCCCGACCTCTTCTGAAGGCTGGGGGGGGGGACAAGGGCTTTTCTTCCCACCCCCAGCATTTTAAAAAACCCCGGGACAGCGGAGGACTTCTCCGTTGTCCGGGGCGATTTAAAAGCCCCTGGGAAGGCAGGCAGGGGGGACAAAGACTTTTGCCCCCCGCCAGCCTTCAGAAGAGGTCCTGGACCTCTTCTGAAGGCTGGCGGGGGCGAAAGTCTTTGCTCCCCCCCGCCTGCCTTCAAAAGCTTCGCGGACCTCTCCGCCAGCAGCGGCAGCGTTGCCGCTGCTTGGGGAGAGTTGCCGGCATCCCGAAGCCTGCGCTCGCTGACATCAGCGCGTCCAGGCTTCGCGGATCTCTCCACAAGCAGCGGGAACGTTCCCGCTGCTTGGGGAGAGTTGCCGGCATCCCGAAGCCTGCGCGCGCTGACATCAGCGCGTCCAGGCTTCGCGGATCTCTCCACAAGCAGCGGGAACGTTCCCGCTGCTGGCGGAGAGTTGCCGGCATCCCGAAGCCTGCGCGCGCTGACATCAGCGCGTCCAGGCTTCGCGGATCTCTCCACAAGCAGCGGGAACGTTCCCGCTGCTGGCGGAGAGTTGCCGGCATCCCGAAGCCTGCGCGCGCTGACATCAGCGCGTCCAGGCTTCGCGGATCTCTCCACAAGCAGCGGGAACGTTCCCGCTGCTGGCGGAGAGTTGCCGGCATCCCGAAGCCTGCGCGCGCTGACATCAGCGCGCCCAGGCTTCGCGGATCTCTCCTGCCTTCAAAAGCCATCCGGGATAGCGGGAAGCGCTTCCCTGCTATCCCGGACTGCTTTTAAAATGCTGGCGCTGGGGAGCAAAGCCTTTCGGCCCCCGCCAGCCTTCCTGGACCTCTTCTGAAGGCCGGAGGGGGGGGGGGAAAGGCTTTGCTCCCCACCGCTAGCATTTAAAAGAGGTCCCCGGAGATTTCCCTATGGGCTTTCGTCTTGCGAAGCAAGCCCATAGGGAAATTCGTTTTGCGAAGCGCCTCCAAAACGGAAAACCCTTTCGTCTAGCGGGTTTTCCGTCTTGCGAGGCGTTCGTCTTGCGGGGCACCACTGTATGGCAGCTATAGTTTTCTGGTTTGGAAAAAACAGAAAACTAAGGTCAATTACTTCCTGACTTAATCACTGCATACACAAATAAGGAAAGAGGGGTTGAATGTGTAAGTAAAAAGGTTCATGCATATATTTGTTTAAAAAGCTCAGATATGATCATCTGAACCAGGCTTGTTTTGCATTCCTTACCTGCAGCAATTTCCTGATTGATAAGCTGGACTTGCAAATTGAAAACCTGCTCATGCGCTTTGCTGTGAGAAAGTTTTAGCTTCTCTCTTCTGCTTACCATGTAGCAAAGATTTCTTACCTACAGCGAAAAAACAAAAGAAAAAACAACAACCCTATTTAAAACCTTTTAACAGATTTTCCAGAAGTACTGAAGTCAGTGGAAACAGTGGGGTATAAATAAACATATAGTAATAATAATACTTGGGATAATGTTCAATGATAAACTACAATATTACAACCCCCCATTTATGTGGGGGGTTGCGTTCTGAGTCATTGAGCACTTGCATGAAATTGGAAACCTATTGAAAGACAGCAAACACCCCATTCTGCCCTTTTAGTTTCAGTGACGTCTTTATGATTGCAGTGAACTACTTCCAGGTTTAGCACTGTGTGTGTGTGTGTGTGTGCGTGCGTGCGCGTGCACGATGGCACACATATTGGTCGTGCCTAAAACTGGAGTTTCCTGTATTTAGAATCTGTATACTTAAATGATCTGCATGTTTTATTATTCATATTGCAGTGTTAACGCTTGGCCTCGTTCTCTGTTCTGCCTTCGATATACTCAACATTAACTCTAGTCCCTTCTGAACCATCCACCTGCAAAACATTCTCAAGTGCTTTTTAAAATTCACAACGGAAAGATTATCAGGTGGCTATTGGCTTCCTAGGCTGGGCTACCTGTTTAGCAGGTAGAAGGTTCCTAAAGTCACAGCTGTATACCGTATTTTTCGCCCTATAGGACGCACTTTTTCCCCTCCAAAAATGAAGAGGAAATGTGTGTGCGTCCTATGGGGCGAATGCAGGCTTTCGCTGAAGCCTCGAGAGCGAGAGGGGTCGGTGCGCACCGACCCCTCTCGCTCTCGAGGCTTCAGGAAGCTATCCGCAAGCCTTGCAAGCCCGGCGGGAGGTCCCGCGGGCTCGCAAGGCTTGCGGGCAGCAGCCTGCAGCCCAAAAGCTCGGGGACAGTGGGGAGGCGCAGCACCGCCACCCCGCTATTCCCCGACCTGATCTGGAGGCTGGCAGGGGGGAGAAGCAAGCTTGCTTCTCCCCCCCCGCCAGCCCCACAAGCTCGCGGAATAGCGGGGAGGCAGAGCGCTCACCCCGCTATTCCCCGACCTGATCTGGAGGCTGGCGGCTGGCAAGCCGCTGCCCCACGGAGGCTAAAGAGGCTGTCCCTGAAGGCAGAAGAGGGAGACGGAGCGCTCCGTCTCCCTCTTCTAGCTTGGGGATGGCTGCGCAAACCTGGGGGGGAAATAAATCCCCCCCCCAAAAAAAACTAGGTGCGTCCTATGGGCCGGTGCGTCCTATAGGGCGAAAAATACGGTAATTAGCATGATGCCTGTGGAGGATCCTTAATAGGCTCTACTGTAGCCTCCTTACTAGAGTCAATATTATGGCCCCATCAGTAACGCTGACCCTATCTCAAGCATGCAAATGAGCCAATGGGCACAGCACCGGCAGAATCAGCCTCCTCCGACTGTAAATTGCAAACAGTGTTGTAATGAAGGAGAAACCTCATCGTGACACTTGAGGAAAGCAACCTGGTGACTGCTCCAGAAGAACAGCCATGCACAGCATCAGCCTCCACACAGCATCAGCTGACATATGGGCCATACAGCAGGGTAGCATGGCACACCACAAGTCGTAGGATGAACCCAGAATCTGGCGGATCCTACTTCTACTTAGCTTCTTGCCATTCCCGTTTCTTCTTTCCACCAGCCTCCATTATCTACTTACTTACTTGATTTCTTACCCACTGTTCCTCATAGGGCCCCAGGGAGGGTTACAACAATACTATATACAATTATAAAAAAATAATAATGATAAAAACAGATGTGGTAATAAAAACAAGTAAAGCCGTTCCAGATAGAACAGAACATTATCGATTTAGCAGAAGAGAAGGTCAGGACTAAGAGGTGCATTTTCAGCATACAGCAAAAATACTGTATAATGAAGAGCTGCCACAGGAAAGGAAAAAAGCCCTTTCCCGGGCCACCATTCCCTGCACCTCTGAAGGCGGAAGTACTGCCAAATTTTAACACCCAAGGTGGTCTTTCAGCTATTCAAGGGTGCAAGTCACTTAGAGCTTTAAACACGAATGTGAGCACCTTGATGGGGACATTGGGGGGTGGGGAATGGCAACCACAGCAGCTGTTTTTTAAACTGAGGTTGTAAGAGCTCTAAAATGGATCAGCCAGTAATCTGGCGGCTGCATCTTGGACCAGTTGCAGTTTCCAAATGGCCTTCAAGGGTAGCGGCACATAGAGCGCATTGCAACAGTCAAATCTGAAGGTTGTCAGATTGTGGCGTACAGTGATGAACTTGCTGGAGATAATAATAAGAAGAAGATAATAAGAAGAAATAAGCACTACAGTGCTGGATTGATCTGCCCTTTCCCAATTCCTGCTGCAATGAACTACTTCTTCCTTTATAAGGGTATTTTTCGTCACTTCCCCCCTCCTCTCCTCCTTACCCTCTCCAGATCCTGCCTCAAATGCATGAACATCCTCATTCGAGTATGAATGCTATCTTCTTTTGGCTGAACCAAGCCGTTTTCTTCATCCTCCCTGGGAGGAAATAATGGTTTATTAAAGTTACTTTTCCGTTTCAGTTTCCAGTAATTATAGATCAAGTCCACAGTGAGTTTAGGGAGGCCGAGTTCTGCTGCGACGTCATCAATCCTCACTAGGGAGTAGAACTCCTCCTCCAGCTCCCGAAGTTTCTGAGCACGCAAACTGGTTTTCTCGCTCTCGGTCTGCTTCTGGTCTGCTGTGCTCTTGGGATTAACGTCCGCGTCGGGCATCAAGCTCTGCTTGGTTTTGCTATGCTTTAGACAGTACGACTTGAACTTGACTTCATCGCCATCGTCCAGGATTGTTTTCATCTCCAGGCTATGCTCAAAGGCACACGTGACATGAAAGGCAGTAATGCAGCTCTTCACAGAGCACTGTTGAGTGAAGGAAAGCGCCACCAGTTAAAGCAAGCACCAGAGGAAGAAAACCAGCCAATGAAAGCTTAGAAAGTATCACAGGCCTTTATTATTACATGTATGCACAGAGTTTCACAGGCGGTATTCAGAAGACACAGCTTTACTTTAAAGGTTGTTTATTCCCGAGTTAGAAGTCTAAATGGTAACCTTCAGACACAACAAGAAAAACAAGCAAATTCTGTTCCACTAAAGATTCTTAAGAAATACACTTTATAAAATGTAAAATATTGATGTATAAGTACTTTTATCTTAAGAGTTACAAGCTATGCATATACACTTTCAGAAGAGGCAACACACACCGCTAATGAAAAACAGCCTATTCAATCATTTGTTTCTTCTGTATAAGCTCCAGCATTCCAACGCCATGGGCAGTGCTTGGTTCACGGTAAAGCCTTAGCAGCAATTTGGCATAATGGCTGTGTTTTGAAATCACATTAAGCCATAGGTAATGTTTAACTATGGCTTTACATGACTGAGCAGTATGCTCCCACAAGCTAATCAAGTCTCCACTTTGCTCTTTCCCCATTCCTGGCTGCACCATGGCGGGAGCAAAAAACCACATGCCTTGGCTTCATGTGCGATCCAAATCTGGGCTCATGGTTTGTTTCCCCCAAACAAACCATGAGCAGTAAACAAATAACAAAGTTTGGTTATCGCTTGGTAAGTAAAGTTGCTTGCGGTTTGTGGCCAGTTGTGAGGGAAAGTGGACTGGAAACTCTGAGCAGTGTGCACAGCTCGTCCACATTAAACCACATATTAAACCTAACTATGGTTTAACATGATGTGCAAAGCAAGATAACTTGACTTCTGCAAAACCTGTTTAACTAAAGTTTAGCCACCACACTAGCTAAGTAAGTAGCAGGGTAAGATAGAGGATCCACAGCTTCATGACAGATACACAATTAAAGTAATAATGCAAGCATTCGTATAGAGCTTGCATTTTATGGTGGTACCTCGGGTTAAGAACATAATTCGTTCTGGAGGTCTGTTCTTAACCTGAAACTGTTCTTAACCTGAGGTACCATATTACCTAATGGGGCCTCCCGCTGCTGCCACGCGATTTCTGTTATCCTGAAGCAAAGTTCTTAACCCAAGGTACTATTTCTGGGTTAGCGGAGTCTGTAACCTGAAGTGTCTGTAACCCGAGGTACCACTTAAATTATGTATCTGCCATAAAGCTGTGAATCCTGTATCCTGCTACTTAGCTAGTGTAGTGTCTAAGCTTTAGTTAAAGCGTTTTGGCATAATAAAAGGGCCCCAAGTGCATTATCTCAGGGATCCTGTGCATTCCCTTGCTTTTTAATTTAATGTATTTTAATTGACTGTTGTTCCCCATAAGCACCCCTAAAGGTTTTGGCGGGCCCCAAAAGGTTTACAAAAGTCTCTTTAATTTTTTTAACAAATATCCCTGCCAACCACTCTCATTGGCCCCCTATCTACAATTCTGTGATGCCAAAAGGTTGTGGTTGGTTTTTTTTACATTTTTCCAATACCCCGAAAATGTTTCCTTAAAATATTAAGGTAAAGGGGCCCCTGACTGTTAGATCCAGTCGCAAACGACTCTGGGGTTGCAGCGCTCATCTCGCTTTACTGGCCAAGGAAGCTGGCATACAGCTTCCGGGTCATGCGGCCAGCATGACTAAGTCGCTTCTGGCGAAACCAGAGCAACGCACAGAAAAGCAGTTTACCTTCCCGCCGGAGCGGTACCTATTTATCTACTTGCATTTTGACGTGCTTTCGAACTGCTAGGTTGGCAGGAGCTGGGATTGAGCAACTGGAGCTCATCCTGTCGCAGGGATTCGAATCGCCGACCTTCTGATCGGCAAGCCCTAGGCTCTGTAGTTTAGACCACAGTGCCACCCATATCCTTAAAATATAAACACTGCTAAAGGCTATTCTGCTGCATCTGTCTTCCACCCAGCACAGGAAAAAGTTGTTCCTTATCACCCTGAACCTGTTGTGTTTGCCAGCATGCAATTTCTGCTCTGCAACTTCAAAGATCACAATACAGAATTAACACATACCTGGATACAAGCACCAGTTTTCAATTTGCATAAGCTGCAAACTAAAGCCCATCTACTTGGTGGAATATGGGACACTTTGGTAATTGGTTCCATTCTTTCTGGACAAGCAATGCTTACCTAATAATAATAAAATTTATGGATTACTATGACTGACATGACCAGAAAAGAGCTATCAAGCTATTATATTTCAGCATATTGTAAAAAGGCAAATATAACAGCTACAGCAGCTAGGTGACCCGGGGAAGACTGCATTCCAAATACTTCCATGCTAGTCTACTTAAAGATGGGCTAAAACACTTCTTATTCATACCTCTGGAATCCAAAGAGCACAGCTCACATGCGCCCACTTGGTGCCTGTCCTTGTAGCTTTCATGGCCCCACCTCTCTTTGGACACAAGAGACACTGAGGGTGTATACCTAGAACACAAGTACGACACAGCCAGCTTCCTTCAGGAACCTTTAGGATGCCATAGCATGCCTGAGGATAAAAACAAACTGCTGCTTTATACGACTCCATAGTGAAATGAGACATCACTGATTTATATCAGTACCAACAGAGTATTTTTCTAAAAAATGCTACACACTAAAATCATTTTGGGAGAATTCAACTATTTGCCAGATGTCTGAAACACGAAACAGGAAAGGAGCTATTTCCTAACAAGTAAAGAGTTACACACATTATTAATAGTGCTGCACAGAGAATTTCTACAAAAAGACACAGAAGCCAAAGGTCTGATCTCAGAAAGGTTGGCTAATGGTAGCTGCGCCTCCCTAACCCCAGAACCTTGCTATTTATTGGTGTGTATCTCTCTCACACACAAAATCTAGAAAAGTAGCTCTCTGTGGCATCTAGTACTAGCATACACTGACCGAGAAAGGTGTCTGTATAGCCTAAGGAAGACTCCGGGCGGATTAGCCTATCACAGTTATTTCTGGAACATTTCAGATTAATCCAGAAGAGTGCACTCTTGCATAGGCATAAATTCTAGGCACAAATTTAAAAGATCAGCTTTCCCTCATTATCTCACTGTGCAATCACTGCACCATGCTCTACTCTTGTCATTAACAAGAATCATTTTATGAAGATTAAAAATTCACCCTTCACTTCGCCATTTTTCCCCTGTTGTAGGAAATTTAATTAGCTGACATCCCTAAATGTGGTTTCAGAAAAGGAAGAAGCGCGCAGCAGACAAATGCTCCAACACCACAATGGTTCAAAACCTTTCCCATAATATTTAGGGGATTTACATGACCTCTGAATACATTACTTGATCAAAAGCAATCCACGTCTCTTTTAAGCAGTTGCATGTTAAATTTTACAGAGCCCTGTTGGAAAACAAAAATTCTTGACCCACTTTTTCAGAGGCCGCCAGATTTCTTGCACCTTTTCAATGGCTTTTCAAATAGGTTGTGTTGGAGCAAGATATCTAGAAAGATTCTACAGTGGTACCTTGGTTCTTGAATGTAATCTGTTCCAGAAGTCCATCAGACTTCTGAAACGTTAAAAAACCAAGGCGCGGCTTGCGATTGGTGCAGCCACCCTGGAAACAATAGCTGACAGCCACATGAGACTTCGGCTTCCGGAAAAAGTTTGCAAACCAAAGCATTTATTTCCAGGTTTGCAGCATTCAGTTTCCGATTTGTTTGTCAACTAAGTTGTTCGAGAACCAAGGTTTCATTGTAATCCCATTCCCAAAAGAACGAAGCATTTTCAAAACCTCTGCTAGCACTAACCTGATGCACACAGATGTTGCATTTGTCACAAAACACCATATCATTCCCATCTTCACTGTCAGGGGACCGGCACACATCACAGATGACATCTTCATCATATTCAATACCCAGCCCCTCCTCTGTCTCAATGGCATGGTTCATGTTCTCGTGACAGTGACGTTCCAGGACTTCCACCATTTTCTCCATTGTGTTCTCATCAAGCTGCCCACAACCTGCAGGAGAATTAAAGCAAAATAATAATCTGCTTAATACTAGATAAAGAAACAAAAAGCACCCTCATTTCCTAAAGCATTGCACTGACAATAGGTTGTCTCCCTCCCTCATTTGTGTGAGACTTACTTAAATTTCAATCCAAGTTTTAAAAGACTTAAGATCTACACTGCGTTAATCTGATATATAAATACACTATCTTAAACAAATGCAGATACATGAAAAGTGAAACCACCAATTGAAGGTGGACTTATTTAAAACACTGTTATCCTGCCTTTCTGGCTTCCTATATTACTATGTAAAAATATTCAAATACCTAGATTGAAAGTCCTATTCCCGAGGATTCAGACAACTTACATATATTCAAAGTAGCAGCTAGGATGTCAGTAATAATGCACAAAATTGATTTTTACCTATGACATCATAGCATAGCATTGTTCATGCTAAACCATCATTAACACTAAGATGTCTGGCAGATGATCACATACAACCAAGGTTTAATGTCACAGAATAGTTAAAAGCACCAGTGAGGGCAGCTGAAATTTTTTGTTGCTCCTCCAACTTCAGCTCCACTAGCTTTTGGGCAGCGACAGCTCCATAGCCATAGTTAAGGAAGTGGTCCAGGTTTACATACAAAGCAAAGCCATGCTTGACGTTAAGCAAGGTTTATAACCCAGCTACGAACCTTGGTTAATCAAAAACTTTTACCATTGCCAATAAACTGGGCTGAGTTCACACATAAGGCTAATCTATGGTTTCATAATGTGCATTATGTTTGAACCAAACCATTGTTTTAAGGAAATTGCCTCTTAACATGACAAATAGCCTGTTCAACTTCATTGAAATCTCATTATATGCCCCATTACCTTTTCCCATTCAGATTAGAAACATGTTGCTTATGAATACTACGTTGAAAAGAATCTGCCACGTCAAGTTAATTATTTCCCCGCTAATTTTTAAGTCTCAACTGGCCTCATAAACAAGCTATCAAGATAGTGTCTTCTCTGATTAGTTACTAGAGTGGCATAATCCTGCCTCTCTCATGGAGCCACAAAGTACAAGTCTGCAAAGCTGCCATTTTCTCAGCTCATTAAGATCTGAGTATTAGCAAATACAATTAAGATCTGAGTATTAGCAAATACAATTAAGTAGGAATACTGACTTCCATTATTACCTGATTGGTATTTTTCCATATACATTGTTTTTATTACTCCTAGAGTCCTGGCATAAAATGCACAACCAAGATGGATTTCCAAAGAATTAAGGTACAGCTTTGCTATCTTAGGAAACATATTAAAAGCATGGAAGTTCCTCAAAATATTTAGATGCAGTTAAATGTCTCTGAACCATGGCTGAAGAAGACTCCTTGAATACCAACTAAAGTTCTTGTTCTAAACAATCCATTCTTTTTTTTTTTTTTAAAAGAAGCAGTAGCAAAACAGCCTTAAATCAGCGCAGTTGACTAAAGATTCAATTTTTAAAATTCATTGTAGCTTTAGTAATTGCACTTTTCATCACTCTCACCCATTTCGGCAAGCTCCTCATTTACTTCCTGAAGCCAGAAGATGTCCATATCGTCCAAATCATAACGACACATCGATTCTGCCAGTTCCAGAATGTTGATATAGCCAGGTTCAGTGGGCTCTTGACTTGAACAACGAATGTATTTTCTAGGCCGTGTATATAGTACTTGCTTTACTTTTTCCGCAACGACTCTAAAATGATATAGTAATTAAAGTGAGCTATAAGTCATTTGGTGAAAGGGCACTTCTGCAAATTGGGAAGCCAGGTATTTGATGCCCCTAATTGATTATAATAATCTGGGCTACAATGGAATGCATGGGTCAAGCAAAATTGACAATGTGCATTGGTGCACCGGGTATGAACATTTTCCAGGCTGAGGGTCACAATGGCAAGTGGAGGGGGCCCATGTCAAAGTAGGCATGGCCAAAACGAAATAGTGGGGAAAGGCAGAACCTACCCCTCCAACCCTTATTTCTTATTTATTTCCCTTAATTTCTTTCGTACTAACTTCCACACCTCCATTCCTTATTAATTCCCACCCCATTCTCTCCCAATGCATAGGACATTTTGCCCAAGCTATTCGAGTCTTTCCATGCTACTTCCCTCTTTTACAAACACACAGCACATCCTCTTTCTGTGTCTCTCTCTCACACTCAGCATCCACATGGGTGCATTTAGAGGGAGAGATTTGTATCCCAAACCATACTCCAGACCTGACACTGAGCAGAGGAGATATTTAAACATCTGCTCAGTGCTGGGATCAGGATACAGATGGGGGTGCAAAATTTCTGCCACCCCACTCCCCACCTGATTGACTTTGCAAACAGGGATGGATGATCTGTCTCCCAATTTTTGTTCAATAAGAAACAATAATAATGCACACCCCTTTCCCCAATAATTAATTTATTTGCCTTCTGTGGCTACTAATCAAATTATGCTCCAGACGTGTATGAATTCACACACCCCCATCCACAATAATCTATTAATGTTTCTCCCACCAGCAGCTTTTTCTAGTTTTCCTTCAGCCTCCCATCCATTTCTTCGTTTACATCTCCACCCACTCTCTCCCTCCAATCCCGGAGTCCATTCTACACAGCAATCACCAAGTGAGCTCAGACCGACCATTCCAATGCCTTGGGCTGTTCTTCAGCCGATCATTTCCTTATTAATTTTTTGTCAGCTGATAACAGCAACAGCAGAGATAGTTGTACTGATCCGGATGCAGAATGCAAATCAAAAGAATTTTTAGGGACTGCTGCCCAGAAAAGCACCATTAAGAAAGGGGTACCCAGACACAAAAGGTGAGTAAACAGATAAATAAAAAATCATTTTCATGGGGTCCTTGGGGGCCACAAGTCTTTTTTTGGGGGGGGGGAGTCCATATATATGACCTGTGAGTTAGCTACCCTTGCTTTTGACAGGGAATGCATTAGGACAACGCCATGCTACTCACAGAGTACTGCTACACACTACAGGTAAAAGGTAAAGGACCCCTGGACGGTTAAGTCCAATCAAAGGGAACAATGGGGTTGTGGCGCTCATCTCGCTTTCAGGCCAAGGGAGCTGGTGTTTGTCCACAGACAGCTTTCCGGGTCACGTGGCCAGCATGACCAAACTGCTTCTGGCACACCGTTACCAAAGCTAGAGTGCACGGAAATGCCGTTTACCTTCCCACCACAGCGGTACCTACTTATCTACTTGCACTGGTGTGCTTTCGAACTGCTAGGTTGGCAGGAGCTGGGCCAGAGCAACAGGAGTTCACCCCATCGCACCGATTCGAACCGCCGACCTTCTGATCAGCATGCCCAAGAGGCTCAGTGGTTTAGAGCACAGCGCCACCCGCATCCCTATAAACTACAGGAGCACATGCCAAAAGCCCATTCTGAACTATCAGCAAACCTCTTTCTTACACTCAAATATAAGGATTATTAAAACAAAAACAAAAAATAAACCCACAAAAGTAAATTCTTTATTGAACAACAACACAGATAATTTTCCACACTGCCTAATGTTCCCTCTTGAGTTGTGACCATATCATACATCAGAGGAAGTAAAGAAAGCCAAAAATACAATGGGACAAAGGTACTTAGGCATGAGCCATTACCAAGCAAATGTATCTGGTGATCTTTATATACATAAGACTAGCTCAGGTTAATACACCCTCATCCAGTCTACCACCACACCCAACTTTGTGTACTCCACAGAACTGTCTCGTATATTTGGAAAACTGCAGTGTGCATCATCCACCACAACCACTGGAACAATACTGAGTTATGCTGAAATAATGCAGTATACTACCTCTTTGACTATGTGGTCAGAATGCATTTGTCTGTTGTGGACCTTAATACTTCTTTAAAAACTGCAGCCTCACCTGATCAAAAATCTACTCTGCGCAACAAAAGTAGTTGTCAGGGGTTCAGGGAGAGAGGCACAGATGAGGGAGGAGACTGAGAGCGAGGGGGAAGAATCCAGGAACGAGGAGGAGGAGGATGACAATGACTTGAGGGCTTCCATGAGTCTCTCAAGTGAATCGGAGGATTCCCAAAAGGGGGCACCCCTGGTCAGGCCAAGGGGAGCCACAGGGGGGACTCGTCAGGAGCAGGGGAGCAGCAGGGAAACCCCGAGTGGGAGTGGGAGATCGGGGCCGGCTTCCCAGCCGGAACGGAGTGAAGAGGGTGGAGTTCCCAGTGTGACACACGGAGCAGAGCAGGAAGCAGAGAGGGGAAGGAGATCGGGGCAAGACGTCCTGCCGGAAGGGGCGGAGAGTAGTACAGAGAGTAGTATAACTGTCAAGAGGAAGGTCAGGGGTAGCGAACGCGCGCCAAGTTCAAATGTGGAGGCGCGCGGAAATGCGGAGAGCCCGGAGGAGGAGCCTGGTCCCAAAGCACGGAGGAGGGGGGAGCAGGCGTCTGGGGACTCAGCGACAGGGGAAAGCAGGAGGGGAGGAACCCAGGGGGGCAGAAAGACCCTGCGGAAAAGGAAGGACAGGAAGAGGTGGACCAGCACAAGCCTCTTAAACTGGTGTAGAGGCGGGACTGATTCAGAGGGGACTTCAGCGGTCTAAGCGTAACAGACGTGGGGCTGCGTGCCTCGGCTGTGGAACAAACAATGTACTTCAATAAAGACTTTTGTAAATAAAGTGGACTTGGCGTTGGTCTCTTGTGAGCTGGGACCTGAGGCGGCCCTGACAGTAGTAAACGATTAATTATGGTTTACGTGACATGAGTGCTGCCCAGTATATTCATATTGCTACCCCAAAATTAAATGTAGTTCAGTCCCAACAACTATTTATTAAAAATTACCTGAGAGAAGGTTGTGGAATCGTGTCTGGGCTGGCTGGGACTTGCACACCCTTTTCCCATTCTTGTTTCCATGTGTCCGCAAAGAGGTAATATTCATCTGGGTTAATATGATGAGAATCTGGGAGTTTCATGGCACTAATGAGGTCCTTTCGAAACACCTGCAGGTGAAGGCAAAGACAGCATTAATACTTGGGAAGAAACAGTCCAATAACTTATTCCTCTTCTTCTTCTTTAACAATACAAATTAATAATGTACAGGAGCCTTTATCCAAGAGGCCATGTTAAACAGTTGTCAGAACCATACTGATCAAACCAACCCCTTTGCTGCCAAGCATAAAGGAAGGAACACATAATTCCCCAACTATTTAGAATCATGGGCTGCTGCGGTTGTAATCAAAGCAAGTGGACCACCCTGTTCTGCTTTACCACACAAATCCTAGAAGGTAAAGCGTGAATGGGATCGTCCAGAGTTATGTAGATATGGGATCTCCCCTAATCGTAGATACTGAAACATCTACAGAACTGTGGCAACTTCCAGCTTTGGGGAGGTCCAAAATCCAAGTAACTGCAGGTGACCAGGAAAGAGACAAGGAGAAAGTAAAAGACTTGCTCACAACTTGGGAGGTTGGGTGGGAAAGTTCAATCTGTTAAAAGTTTGAGTCTCTAGCATCTACCCTGGATTACAGGAATGATGTCTCTTTCAAATCCTGCAACCCTGCAAGTGAAGATTTAATTTCATTTTAGCAGTATGGTAGAATAGAGTTTGTTTTCGAAATCAAAGATTTCAATGGATAAAACTAACTCCGAACATCAAAAAGAAGAGTAGACCCAAAAGAGCTTGCATTTAACAGCACAGCTTAAAGGCAAATGAGACACCTACCCATCGCTGTCATAATCTACTGTCATCTGCATTTCATCTGTTTTCAGAAGTAATTGCAATGACATTAGGCATTCAGCAAGTAATTTTCCATTTCTGAAGGGGGCTAACCCCTGAACTTTCATGCTGAACTTTTTTTTTTTAAAGGGTTACGTAAGCTTAAATTGTCTGCCAAGTTCTCCAAGGAAGTAGCTCAACGTTAAAAGTGATCATTTAGGCAAATAAAACACATTTGGAAGTAGTCAACTAAACAGTTGGGCTAGTGCAACCACTTTTAGCTGCACAATGTAATTTCCTGGCCTTCTCTTCTCCTGTTCCCAGATCTACTCTGGAGAGCTGGGGAAACCTGGAGCATATTTATGGGGTGCAGAGGGAGAGGAGAGGGTGGGGAAGTTATACTGTCCAACTAAAAATCACTGCACTACCGTAACTGTTTAGCTGAATACCGCCCATTGTGCAACCAAGAGCAGGAGCCTGCCACTGGTCCAATCTTGACATAACACAGCCAATCTACCCGTGTTCCTCATCTCCCATGCTTAATACATCGGCATAGGGCTAGCCTAGCTGGACAATGGGGCAGGAAAGCAGTGTTTCTTAATCTACATGCAGTCCCCCCTGTCATGCATTAGATGCCTGAAGGGAGCTTTTGTTTTGCACTCTAAATCAATATCATCTTTCCTCTTTTTGTGTGTTTGGAGGGGGGTGGTTTCACTAGGACCACAGAGCAGAATGAAAAGAGGTTATAGCCCCCCTATGCAGGGCAGTTCCACTCATGCCCTTGTTTGTTATTTCTAAAGTAAAAACAATACACATTTGAACTGTGCAAGCATTTATTGACTAGTTTGGCCCTCTGGGTAAGAAGAGACATGCAGTTCCAAGAAATAGGGCAATCCAAATTTGTCCCATAGATATGAATTAAAGGAAGAAGATATGTAGGTATTTGGCCTGCTCCGGCCCACCTTTAGGGTAAATCCAGAACAGGGAGAAAGGATATGTGCATTCTGTATTTTTATACATTACTCAGAGGTTGTGCATTTAAATCTTTTTCAGAATTATGTGTTTTGTCAACTTGTATTTTCATAACTCATATTTTCAGTTCATAGTAAGAGATGCCAAAATTGAAACTGTGCCTAAGGTAAATAGGGGAGGAAGTACCTGGGGACAGTCTCATAACATTAGGGACTCAAATACTCCTAAGAAAAGCGGAAGCCTTAATGGCTTGTGCAGAAGTTTGCCATAGCCCTACAGTCATATTCCAGCAATAAGGAAGAAGGAAAGAAAACACAAGAAATTCTCTTCAGCAGCACCTGCTACCTCGGGACCTCAATTTCTCTTCAACTGCCCTTAGATTCAGGAAATTATGACCCATTTTACTACAGACCCTAATCCTTAAACATAGATGGGCTTTAATCCCATTGAACTCAAATGGGACAAGTTCATTCGTTCTTCCTTCCTTCACCTCTAAAAGGGAAACAACATGAATGAAGACATCGTTGTGTAACAGAACTATCTTCCCGCTCCCCCCGTGCTACCCTCCAAATCTGTCCCCAAAACCTCAAGAGAAAATTTGAGGTTTGTGTGAGGAGAGGGGAGAAATTATTCTTGCAATAGTGAAAAAAAATGTAGTTGAATAGCACCCCAAGAATGTGAGAATTACTCTCACCTCAGCAGGTTTCTTTTGTTCATTTGCTGGTGTTTTTGACTTGCTTCTGTACTTGGAACAAAAGGAGAAAGAAGTAGAAGGACCTGTATAAACAGAGGAAAAGATGGAGACAATTTAAATGCTGCTGCAACACCAGGATATTCATAAAAATACAGAGAATTGCATTCCGAAATGGTATCTTAGGCAACATAAACTAGAAATTTTGCTTACAATTATGGGTCTGTTTTTCTTAAACAGTTGCTTCAACTTTTCAAGGATAAGTATCCAAAGGGACAAAACAAGTTGCTCCTGACTATCCAAACTGTATAGAAATTTATTCCATGTATGTGACTACACGGCAAGGATGTTACTTGCCCAAAAATGGAAAGAAGAAGAAGTCCCAGCGAAAGAAGAATGGATAAAAAAACTTATGGAATATGCAGAAATGGCAAAACTTACCAGAAAAATAAGAAATCAAGATAACAAACTTTTTATAAAAGAATGGAAATGGTTTATTGAATATTTACAAATAAACTGTAATCAGAGAAGAATATTGGCAGGATGACTGTAATAACCTGTAGCTTTTTATATATATATTTAAAGCAGATGAATAAATGAGTAAATTAAGTTAATTTGGATATGCAGAAAATATAAAAAACAAATTTAAGGAACCGCAGAAAGAGGGGGAAGGAAGTTGAGTTTTGAAATGCTAAAATGATTGTAAAATTTTTGAAATGTATAAAACTGAAAATCATAAATAAAATAATAAAAATAAAAATAAATGTTGCCTGTGTTATATGGATGCGGGTGGGCTACTTAGTACTATAAAGAAACACAAAGGCCTCTGAATGACTCATGACAGCCAACAAGTTGGCATGATCCACCCCAAGGAGGAGTTATGGAATGTTCTGAATTCTGAGATACCTTCTGAAAATTGTTTATAAACAAACTGTAGGATGGTATTGTCTACTGACAATTAGATGAGCAAATGAATATGGAGGAGAGAACAGTTTTATATCCTAGAAGCAAACAATGTTGAAATAAAAGCAAGGTAAAAAGGTTAAAGAGGAAACAGGGACAGGAGGACAGAATTGGACCTGCGAGTCCTGCAAAGACCTCTGCTTCCTGCCTGGCTAGCCTCTTTCCACCTGGCCTGGGAGGGAAGAGCCCTGACTGATTGACTCCAGCTACAAAAACTGAGGCTGCTGAAGAGGCCAGAGGCCATTCAGTTTGCTGTGTTTTCACATTAACAATACATAACAATTGTATACACATTGCCACCCTTTATATACTTTCTTCTCAAAGAAGAAGTTGTTTCTAAGAATTGTTTTGAAACCAGAGAGGTACGTATCCCAATATTTCTGAAATACAATTGGTTGCTTAACTGAAACACTGCTATAATAGCATCTGAGCAGCAGAAGGAGTAGGATACCTGTAGTTGTTGTCAGAACAGATAATTGCTGCAGACACACAGAAGTTTTAATACTCGGGACACCATGTTTGAAAGCTACTTTGTGAACTAGACGTAAAGCTCACATGTGGAAAGGAGTTGTAAGTAGCACTGAAAAAAGGCCTGTTGGAAGTGGTAACCTTTTTAAGGCTCTACAGACACAAAATATTTCACTTAGCATTCATTCCAAAGCATGAAAAGTCTGCCACAATCCTCAAAGATTCTCACATAGAGGAGTGCAGCTAGCACATTATCAGTTTAGAAAACAGAGGCTTCACAATAAATACTAGCTCTCTCTTCAGGCAGAATTATGCACCTTTTACATTCTAAATAAAGATTGTTGCTAAACAACCACATTATTCTACCCAGCGTTGGGTTTCTTAAGTTTCCCCCAAGCCCTCTCTGATAAAACTGAATACCGCAATGAGCAAGAGAAAATGAAATCAGACGAGAGATAAAAAAAGAAAAGCCATAAAAAAGTGCAACCGTTTGCCCTCAAACCAGAGGAGGAAACCACAGGAAGCAGTGACAGATCAAAGGAAGACTAGATCACACTACTTACTTTCATTGTCTGAACTGTCACTGCTGCTTAGATGCCTGTGGCGTTTCATCCTGACGCATCCTAGAAAGAGAGGAGAGAAAAGATGTAGTTGGTTAAATCCATCACATGCCGTGAAAACACACACAAAACCACGCACGAATTAATGCTGCCTGGAGGAATTGTACCCCCCCCCCAAAAAAGATGATTTTCCAAAGGGAGCTTTCCAGCATATAGTGTCAGATCACAAGCTACTTATTGTAATAAACAAGCAGTACTTAGTGATCCACTGAACCTCAATGTGCTGATTAAAGATGTGTATCAAGAAAAGTCAATCTGCGACTAGATTAATAGAGAGAAGGATTCAGGGCATTTAAAGGGGGCGGGTATAACTGAGCATTCAATCTTCAGCAGGGAAGTCAAACACTAAAGAAAGTTTAGTGTTTATAACTTCTGTATACAAATTATTGTAACTACTGGAGTGCCCTTTAGATGTTATAGTAGCAGCATGCGGCCTGCTTCATGATGGGTGCACCACCCCACATGGCCGTAATGGCAAAAGCAATGCCACCACATGAACAGGGGCAATCACAAAGGGCATTACTATGCAACTTAAAAAACATTCTACTCTTTGTCCCTGTGCTTATATCTTCCATCCAGGCAGGCTTGCTTAGCTGCATAATAATAATAATAATAATAATAATAATAATAATAATAATAATAATAATTTATTATTTGTACCCCGCCCATCTGGCTGGGTTTCCCCAGCCACTCTGGGCGGCTTCCATAGAAACCAAAAAACACTAAAATATCATACATTAAAAACTTCCCTGAACAGGGCTGCCTTAAGATGTCTTCTGAATGTCAGGTAGTTGTTTCTCGTTTTGACATCTGATGGGAGGGCGTTCCACAGGGCAGGCGCCACTACCGAAAAGGCCCTCTGCCTGGTTCCCTGTAGCTTTGCTTCTCGCAATGAGGCAATACATGTCATAGGATACCAGCAGGAAAGGTGTTCACAAATCTAAACCCAGCTTAGTTCTCCTGCCTATGGATACCTGCATCTACCTGCCTGGGTGCAATGAAATCAGTACAAAATCAGAATCCATCCTCAGTGGTATCTGCTGAACCTAATCTTGCTTGTGAGTGTTGACTAGTTATATCAGTGGTTTGGAAGAAACAAGGATGTGGCATTAATCTTTGACAACACTTTCCCCCTCTGCCTATGCCATTGGTTTCAAGCAGTAAAAGGTATTCAATATAGAATTACAACAAGTGGCGGGTGAAGGCTTTCACTTCCAGCAGGCTTTGGGGGATTGTCTGCTTTCAATTACAGTGGTACCTTGGGTTACAAACACCTCAGGTTACAGACTCCGCTAACCTGGAAGTAGTACCTCGGGTTAAGAACTTTACCTCATGATGAGAACAGAAATTGTGTGCAGGCAGCGGGAGGCCCCATTAGCTAAAGTGGTACCTCAGGTTAAGAATGGAACTCCGTTCGACCTCCGGAACAAATTAAGTTCGTAACCAGAGGTACCACTGTATAGGACAGGTGCCATCCTTTGCTTTTTTTTTTTTTGGTACTTGTTGGTATGTTTTAAACAGATTTTATATACCGTATTTTTTGTTCTATAAGACTCACTTTTTCCCCTCCCAAAAAGTAAGGGGAAATGTGTGTGCGTCTTATGGAGCGAATACAGGCTGCACAGCTATTCCAGAAGCCAGAACAGCAAGAGGGATCGCTGCGCAGCGATCCCTCTTGCTGTTCTGGCTTCTGAGATTCAGAATATTGTTTTCTGAGATTCAGAATATTGTTTTCCTCCTCAAAAAACTAGGTGCGTCTTATAGAGTGAAAAATACGGTAGTTTTAATGCTCCCAATGCATAATTGCATTTTAATGATTGGCTTTTCTGCTTTTAGTGGTTCTTGTTTTTGTTGTAAGCTGCTACGAGTCCCATCAGAGAAAAAGGCAGGGTATAAATACACAAATAATAAGAATAAACATCCACACTACTATAGGACTATCATCTTGATCTAGGATAGCCTCCGCTCTCTTCTTATACACAAAAAATGCCAGGTCTTCTTTCAGATCTCCTTGCTCGTCATCTTCCATCAGATAGCAGCTGGCTGAACTATAATGCCTCCCTTCACCATCCATTCACACCACTTTTTCTTAATATGGTGGAGGTGGCAGAAATCCTATCATTTCCTCCAGCTCTTAAATCTTACCCTTGATTATTTAAATTATGACCTATATTCAGAAAGCAGACACTCATATGCTGGTAGTAAACTACCATACACTGTGAAAAGATTCTAAATATAGACTTGGCAACCAGCAGCCCAAAATAGCAGAGGCAGAATAAACACCACAAAGCAAGCAGCTTACATTTCTTTCTAAATATTGATTATACTTTTTGTGTTATTACATGAGGTTCTCAGAGGTCACCCTCCCCCCGTCCAAAGGACTGAATTGATCCACACCCGCTCCTGTAATTGGTCACTTTCAGACTATTTACAGAGTCCCTCAAAATTATGTTTCATAAAGCATTCCTAACCATACCTAAATGTCAGGGAGGAAAAAAATAAAAACAGACTGCACCTCTTAATATGGCATACAACCAATTCACAGTATTGAAATAATAGTTTCAGCAGTGTAATAATTCACAATGTAATTCCTACTGTAATGAGATGAGTTATTTACAAAACCTTTTTCCACATGGCTGCTGCATGGTTTTTAATGTAGTGCATTAATCCTGACCATTAGAAATCCCATTCTGATTTTATTCAAAAGTTCCTTTGCGTTTCCAATGTCAAACTATTATGAGGATTCGGGGGTGGGGGGCAGAGACAAACATATACGTTAAACAGATTCAGCTCCAATTCTGCAACATTAACTAACACGGCATTGAATAAATCCCCACAAAAACCATTCCCCCCCGCCACACACATGGGTAGCATCTAAGATGGCTCTGAATGATCTCTTTTTAATTTTTATACTACAGTGGTACCTCAGGTTACATACGCTTCAGGTTACAGACTCCGCTAACCCAGAAATAGTGCTTCAGGTTATGAACTTTGCTTCAGGATGAGAACAGAAATCGTGTTCCAGCGGCGTGGCGGCAGCAGGAGGCCCCATTAACTAAAGTGGTGCTTCAGGTTAAGAACAGACCTCCGGAACGAATTAAGTACTTAATCTGAGGTACCACTGTATCTGAAAAAAGTAAACCTCTTTATATATACAGTGGTATCTCAGGTTAAGAACTTAATTCGTGGTCTCGTTTTGGTGGAAAAGCAGGATATAAATTTAATAAATAACTAAATATTAACGAAAGGTAAAAAAAGGTAAAGGACCCCTGGACAGTTAAGTCCAATCAAAGGTGACTTGGGGTTGTGGCGCTCACCTTGCTTCAGGCCGAGGGAGCGGGGGTTTGTCCACAGACAGCTTTCTGGGTCATGTGGCCAGCATTACTAAACCGCTTCTGCCACAACGGGACACTGTGATGGAAACCAGAGCACACAGAAACGCTGTTTACCGTCCTGCAGCAGTGGTACCTATTTATCTACTTGCACTGGTGTGCTTTCAAACTGCTAGGTTGGCAGGAGCTGGGACAGAGAAACGGGAGCTCACCCCATTACGGGGATTCAAACCCAAGAGGCTCAGTGGTTTAGACCACAGCGCCACCCGCGTCCCTTAAAAATATTAACTAAGTGCATCATAAATCATGATCTGGGATTATGTCTCAATTTCTGTGTTGAAGGGATGTGTTATCTACAGTTAAAATAAGGCTGCTGCATTTGCTCACCCTCTCAGCATAGACGGCTAGAAACCTTCCTCTAGAGGCATAATTAAAGAATAATTAAGGTTCAGATCCACTTCAGCTTGATGACTGAAGCACTCCACAGAGCTGAACACTAATCAGGAATACACACCATTTGGTCTTTGGTATTAAATGAGAGCACTGGGAGGAACGTGGCAGCACCAGGCAAAAGAAAGACTGATTCTCTGGAAAAAGCATCCCTGCAGGAAAATTTCTTTATGAAGATTTACATGGATGTATCTGTTTCTACAAAGGCAGAAAGATACTAAAGGAAATGGGCAGATTCTGAAGACATCCAAGAACATACATTATGGGACACCCAAGTCTGAAAGACGAGCTGGAGGTATCATAAAGCTGCATCTGAACCACAAACAAAAGCCAGTTTAACTGCCATAACTTCCTCCAGGGAATCTTGAAACTATAGTTTTGTGAGGGTGATAAGAATTCCATTGGAGATCCCCAGCCTCCTTCTAGAACCTAGGATTCTAGTGTTCCAAGGGACAGCTATGGCAAACTAATTCCAACTGCAGAGCAGATATTACCATACCAATTTTCTCTGTCCGTGACTATGAGATTAAAGCAAAGTAAGCAATGCATTCACTTAGCAAATCCTTAAAGTTAAATCACATATTACAGGAGATACTGCATACTTGTTGAGTTGTCTTATGGTGCAATGATTCACCGATGACTGTTACAGTGAATGCCCAGCCCTGCTGTGAATACAGGACTTCTACTAAAAATGGTCACGGCTTATTTTTATTTATTAAAGACATTTATATACTTCCCCGCATATTGCATGGCTGTTTACAATAAAGACTTCCTGCCAGCGCTCTAGCTATTTAAATTCATGCCAGCCCTCTAGCAATTTTCCTTCTTTCTAGGAGTACAGGAATACCAAGGAGGCCTCAGACAAAGGAGAGTATGGGCCCCTCCAGAATGGAGATGATTATTTTTTTTGCAGCTGTATTGTGCAACATGACCTTGATGCAGTAATAATGCATTTTTATACTGAACCATCCACACATAATTCTGCTTTATTAGTTGTTCTGTGATGCTCCCCCAGTTTTAGCACATTACTGTCATCTGGAGGGGCACTCTTGCGCTACAGCACAACAAAAGCAGGGGGAAATAAAACCCAGAAGATTTATGGTATGAGAAGTTATGGGATTTCAGCCTCAAGCTGCAGGACTTGCACAGATTTGAAAGGAAGCAGCATGTCTGCCTTGAAACTTTTGCAGGCACAAACACTTATCAAAAGTGGGATCACAT